ATGTTACCCAGGCTTTTCACACTTAATTTTTTTGGACAATTCTCAAAATTTAAACTCAAGACCCTAGGATTTTAAGGTAAGCATCTTAACCACAGAGCTATCAGCATCACTATGTTTTGATAATGCATAACATCTATCATCTTTGTGGAAATCACCAATAAATCTGATTTCAGATTCCATGCATTTGACTCACAGAAATTGTAGGATAATTATGCACCTGCTTAGGAAATGCTTTATTGGAAGTCAATAAGTAAAAGAAAAGATGTGAGGAATGCTGGCATTTCATGGTTCTCCTCTTCGCTTGACCTGTTCATTGTTTTCATCTTGCTTTGACCTGTTCATTATTCTCATTCTCATGTGTAATCATGGTGCACATATCAATGTTTCTCAATTGTTCAGTCCAAAACCTTTTAACAAAGTAGAACATAACATATATGATTGTGGTATCTTATTTTGTTTCCAAATCTTTTGCACACCCTTTTGGTCTTGTCATGGTTATCGTTACCTCCTTGTCTCATACCATCTCCTTCTTGGTTCTCAACTTTCTTGTCTTGTTGTCCTTATGGTACTCAGCATCTATTTTTTCACGGTTCTTTTTCTTACCTCGCCTTCCTTACTAATGCCTCTTTACCGTTCTCAACTTCCTGTATCACCTTTTGTCAACCTGTCATTTCTCACCGTCTTCTCATGATTCACATTTTCTCTAGGCTTAACTTTATATCTTCATAAATTCTCATCTTCTCAACCACTCATCTTGTCTTTTGATGATTCACATTCTCTAAGGTCTATATCCTGTTTCTTCATAACATCTTCTCTGGGTCTCAACTGTTAAACCTGCCCCTACATAACTCTCACCTCCTCCCCCCCCCAAATTCTGACCTTTTCCTTCATAGTTTACTTCAACTCATCTTCTCATGATTCTCCAGCTTTCTTTGTGTGTTTCATCATTTTTTCATTCTCAATTATATTATAATCTTAATGATGCAATCCACTTAACAAAGGATATATCTACATTAATTAACTGCCTTATCAGATTTTCATATAAATTGGACTTGTTTTTGTGTTTGTTGTAAATTCTGTGACCATCTGCTAATAATCAAAGATACTAGAAACACAAGATAAAGTTCTCCACAGAAAAAAAAATGTTCCACCAAAATGCATGGTGAGAATACAAACAATGGGGTGCCGCGTACGACTGGATCTAAAAAACGTCTGTGAAACTTACATAACCTTCTTTTGCAGAGGTAGAAATTGTTGCCATTATCCTTAAGATACAAATAGGCATAAACAAATCAAAAGAATAAAATGACAGACACAAAAGCGCAGAATCTTATGACAGGACTCTGATTAGTGATAAAGTTTCTATCATCAGCGGAAAGTGAAGGGCGCCATGTACGTCTGGATTTACTTAGCAACAGAAGGGCGCCCTGTACATCTGGACCAAGTATAGATAAACTAAATAAAAAAATAATGATTCAACTATATTCAGTATTTATGCTAACATGCTGCTTTTCTTGTGTTTTTAATGCATCAAGCACTCTTGCTGTATCAAGTAAGCTTCAGATACGTTGGAGTGATTTTTCAACCTCAGAAGTCCAAAACCAAGATTTTCACCTTGTTTATCAAAGAAGCGCAGTATGCAGGAAATATAGCAGTCTTCTCATAGAGGGTTGATAGCATCCAGCTCCTCCTGTTGGCTTACAATTCAATATCACTGAAAATGGGACTTTGGATAAAAATCAAGTGGACAGAATCCATGAGCATTGGCAATGACTTTTACATTCATGGAGAGAATTGAATATCTCGGCAATTACACCATCACCAGCAGAAGATATTAAGCCAAACCAATTCTGTTTGGTCAACTTCATGAAAGTGGGTCCGCTGCTATGATATAACAAAAAGTCTGAAACCGACCCAAGTGGGGCGGGAGGATAAATGATGTACTGTAATGAAGAAGATTGATAACAAAATGAAGGAAGATAAAAGAAAGTGTATGAAGATGTATGGAAAAAAATGTAGGGAGGAAAATGGAGGGAAGAAGTGGGGCTTAGAGGGAGAATTTAGCAGGATAGAAAATAGTAGAAGAATAGGTTTTATTTTGTTTTTTGCATACCTTATCACTGTCCCCAGACTTATTCGTATTGACGGTGGAGACAGATGTTAATGATGCACGCTCTTGCCTGTCAATCAAAGAGCAATCATCTCCTGTGCTGTCGTCAAGGTAACTTGACCTAAACAATAAGAAAATCGTATATAATCATTAATATGATGAACTTAATAACATTTTATATATTTATACCTTGTCAGAGGAGGGCGGAAAATTATTAAAATAAAATTTAGTTTTCTTATTTAGCAAATAGTTTTGCCAAAAACATCCAGACGGAGGAGAAAATAAAAATAAAAATTTCATTGGTGAATGTAAACATGCTTTAAATTGATATAATTAGGAAGATATATGCATATCTTATTTTTGGAGATTTCAAGGGCATCGACGGGGCATAATAAAAATAAAGAAAAACTTTATTATTTTTTTATATTTTCATATTTTCGTGGCGGTGGGTGTGCTAAAAGCCTTGCCTTACACACACATACTGAACAATTTTTGGTGAATCCTAATGTTTATTCATATACTTTAATGTTTATTCATCATATACTGTACCTAATGTTATTCATCATATTGAAACAAGAATGTTTTGAAATAGTGTTAGTTAGTATTTCATCAGTACCATACCACTTCCTATATTGGTTGCCGAATTATACATAAATGAATAATTGTAGGAGACCATCACTCACCTGTTCGCTTTCTGCCTCAAATTGCGGATGGAATTTGCTTTCTTCAAATTGTTCCCTCGGCTGGCATGAATGGTCGCTGTGGAATAAATTGAGTGAAAATCATTATTGTTTAATCTTTTTTTGTAATCAATAAGTGTAACACTGAAATATTACATGGACTATGTAAACAAATTACTGGTCTTACCTATCCTTAAGTGCCCATGTCTACTCTGGATGGCCTCTCGGACATTTCGTACCCAATCTTGTTTGTTTTCTAAACTTGTAGTCTGAAAAAATATAAGACATTTTTAAGGTTAGAAAACATATTTACAAAAGCGTGAATGTTGTTTAAGTTGTTCATTTCCATTTATTTGTTTGTGTTTAGATTTTAATTATTGACAAAAAATAATTCTACTGTGAACATAAACTATTAAAAATTGGACGCAATTTTGTATATTTACCTTGAATACAATCTTGTTATCTGATGTTGGTGTCTTTCCCGTCCAAACAGCAAACTTGCAGCTGTCACCCTCAATATGTTCAGTGATTCCTAGATCAGCAGTCTAGAAATATAAGAATTTAAAATATTGAATATGATTGATAATATATTAATGAATAACAATGAAATTACTCCAAATCAAGTATAGTCAACAGGCAAAATAGAAATAACTTCCTCTTTTGTTTTGAGGTGAATATTCCGTAATGCATGGATGTTTTGAAAGTATAATCTATAAGAATATAATAGGAAATACATTAAAAAAATGCACTTACTTATATATGATTATATCTTAATACAAACAATTTTTTCATTCATCTTCCAAACTACACTTGGTACAATTTTGTTAATTGACCAGGGTAACCTAAATGCTTTGAGTATGTTCTGCTACTTAAGAATTATTTTTATTGCAGCCTGAACATACATAAGCCTAACACTATGTTGACATAGAGTTACAGTTACACCAAATAGGCATGTACAATAAAAAAAATATATTAGTAGAAAGTAAAACTATTATTATTTCAGGCAAATATCACAAAATAAATATATATAATGCTAGCTGAGATAAAGCCATTAAAGAAACCTAAACTACTGTTCTTCCGTTTCTTTGGTTAAGTGCAACAGACGACAATCATGACCTTTACTCCCATACGACCTGATTGGTATCCACCACACCTCGTAAAGTGTGTTACATCAGAACGTTGTCAACAATCTCAAATTGAAATAGAATAAAAATATATCTTACGTCCATCTTGCTCTTGTACATATACTTGGTTTTACCAGTACTGTCTTTGGTTTCCTTGGTGAAGACTAGGAAACGTTCAAATAAGAACAGATGACGTTCACGACCTTTACGTATGATTTGTTTGGTATCCCACACTTGTAAGGTATCTTGCATCAAAACATCTCCAACCATCTCAAGGTCCTTAAATAAACCACATTAATAAAAACTTAGAATAATATAAAAAATATAGCTAAATATCACTTCCTCAATAGCATTATTTTATTGTTACTTTATTATTATATCCATATTAGCAATAAACAAACATTCTGTTTCTATAGAAGGCAAACTAATTTAAACATTTGTGTTAGTTTATTTCCTTATAAATAACCTACAGTACATTCTTCTACCTTAAATTTACATTATTTGTGAAAATAATTTAAAAAAAATCATACTCATGTTTCAATAGTGCCTTTTAGATACACAGGACTGAAAATTGTTACCAGACCAAATCAACGGCACTTTCAAAGCCCAAAAATAAAACTTAATTTAACAAGTATTCAAGAGCTAACAGGGTTCTCAAGTCTCCTTGCTGGCCACTGGGAGTTTCCCAGGAATTGACATAGTCTCCCACATTCCAACAAACAAGCAAAAATCTCTCAAAATCTAACACATCTCCTGTAAATTCAGATGTTTGCATGTTCTTACTAATGTAATAATTTATTAACTGTCTCTCTCTATTTGACTAGCTATAGGATTCATCATGTGCAGTAAAATACAATAATGTGTTAAGATTGCGTGGATTTTTCCAACTTGGGACCTCTGGGTTCATTTCAATCCTTAAAGTGTCAACATATTTGCTGACGACCTATTCTGCATGAATTATATATTTCTTCCCTCACCTCAAAACCTTCCAACATAGTGAGGGACATGGCATCATTTGCTTTCTTTGGAACATTCAGCATAACTTCCAAACCCTCCTTCATTTCACCTGTGCCTTCCTCACAGCAGGTCATCAGATCCTGAGGGTAAAGAATGTATGGATGGTTTATCCTGATAAGTTTATTGGTTACTTTTCAACATTTGCTGTGCTTTCTGATTAGGATACTAGCATTATTTGGCTGTCAAGGAAATCTATTGTATACACATAAATAGATTTTGTACTTGTACATTCACTGGTTCAACACTTGCACCAAACAAATAAAAATTTAAACAAATCGCTATGTTTTCGTTAAAAAATTACAAACATAATGATCATCATTATCTAAACATAATGACCACCGATTGCAGGGTTCTAAATCACTGGATATTCTTACTCCACTTGCAACCTGAACCTTCCAGTGATGGCAAAATGAACAAACGTGAACAACATCATTGGTCTTGTGTTTCTTAAACCAACCAAGTGAAGCTGCAACATGGTTCTTCCAATCTCAGAGTCTTGTGTTTAAACCCTCCAAATGTTAGGATTTGCTCTTACACCTAAAAATAACTCTACTCCATAAGCTTCAAAAGACTTAGTCTATAGAGCTTTGCAAATTTCCATTCCATACGTTGAGATTCATTGGACATGAATGAAATACAGGTTAAAAGACACATCATCTTTCTTGACCCTCCTCCAACAGTTGATGGAAGGCTAGAATCAGCAGCTGGTAGTTGTTACTGCTTATTAGTTTGCTTATAATCCATGGCAGAAGTACTTAATCTAGTGTTGCTTATTGAAGCTTACCTTTAGTAGGAGTTGATATTTTGTGATTCGCTGCACTGGTTTGATTAAGTACGACTGAACCGACAGAGCCAGGTCATGCTTAGCTTGCAAATCCTGTAACCAGAAAGTTGTACATTATTTTTACTATGAAAACTAAGATTAAACAAGAAAACATTACCATTACCATGTAACTTACTGTTTGTCTTTTAAATTATCATACAATTTGTTGCATTAACAACGATGAGAAAATTTTTTCTCATTTGGCATTGTTATATTAAAAATTCATTGCTCTAAGTTACAATAACAAATTTGAAATGATCAACATTGGCCTATTTACCATAATTTAATTTATAATTTAAAGTACTCAAAAACAAATACAACAAGCTAATTTACATATTTATATTAAAAGAAATTTGACACACATGATATAAAAATTATACTATACAAACCCTAAAATAATCCATTAACAGAAATGTCAATCATAATATAATATTCAAATACAAATGGAAGTCAAAATATACATTGCCTTTCAAAATTTAAATTAAAATGTCTTGAATTCTAAAACAATTGATGAAAACTTTAAGAGGTATTATGGGTTTTGTCGTAAATTATTAATATTTTCAAATACTTTTATGGAATAACTTTTGGTCTACAAGTATAGTAGGTTGTAGCATCTCTATTGTTTAAAATGAGACTCTGGATATGTTCTAAGCTAGCTTTATGGATGTTCCCTTTAATAATGCTAAACTGGTAAAAGGTATGGTTTGCAAGTGAAGATGCCAGAATTAATTAAGATACGATAAAAGAGACGGTCTTATCACGGCACTCCCTGCTGAGATTCGTCCCACACTCTGCTTGGATAACACTGTACCAGGTAAAACAAACGTGATGTGTATCTTTATGACTATCTAGCAGCTGCCAATAGTTAAGATGCAAGGGTGATGAATCCAGCATCGTTTCCCTGGTGAACGTCAATCAAGACGTCGCTAAAATTGAGTGTGATGTTACTAACATATGGTTATTACGGAAGTTACGATGGGGCTTGAAACGATCAAAGGTAACTGACCAGGAATGGCATGCAACATTGCCCAACAAAATTAATTTTCTTAATGGATTGATCTTCAGGAAGCACTGGGACTATGTTAATTGCTGCTGTATAACCTTTACTTCCTGTTAGTAAACATCTCGTAATTAATTTTTTTTTCTCTTATATTGGAAATAAATTGTAGTCTAGTTAAAAAATAATTCACAAAATAAATATTTTTCTATCTTTCATCAAATTATTTTTAAAATATTATTTTTAAATCTCAAGTTTTTTAATAGCTGGTATGATTTTTTCCCTAGATATCTTTAACTATATATAGTAGCATCAAACTATTTTTTTCAAGATTCAAGAAATGTCTGTAATACATAGTAATATATAAACAGAAAATTGAATCGGTCAGATTTAAAAGTTAGAATAAGAAATTTTCATAACCACTACATTACACACTCAATGCCAATAAAAATAGTCTTAAATATAAACATCAAACACTAAAAGGACATTGAAAAATGTGAAGAAACTTCTTCTACTTTTCTAAAGTAACATGATTTTGTAATGCTAATAATGGTAACAGTGCATTTGTATAGCAATATTGTATCAGATTCCTCTAGGCGCTTTACAAAATGGAGTAAAAACTTACCCTCACAGGAGATAACATCCTGTGTGGTCTAGGTTTCGGACCCAAAATTGATTACAAATAACATATTCTTAATTTTTAATTGTTAATTTCAAATGCTATGTAGGTCAATGCTGTAATTTGGACAGGGAAAAATAAAAATAAAAAGAGAAGAATACTTACATCAAAGAATGTAGCTGCATGTTGAATGAGGAGAGCGTTTGAGTCTGGCTTGTTCTTGCAATATGTTACATACATCTGAAATTTTTCAGCCTAAAAACAAGGAAGAAAAACAAAACATAATGAGGGTAGAATGGTGTTTATTTTTGTCAATGATTCCAACTTCCTCTTTTGGTAACAATTCAGCATAAATTAATTACAAAAATAAACAAAATTTGCTGAACTCTTTAAACAGAGTTGTACATAATGTACAATACACTTCAATATGAAAAAACAAATTTACTTTGTATGCCCAAATATAGTCATGATGTGCCTATATATGGTCATGATGTGATGTCATCATGACCATATTTAGGCATGTCACATGTTTTTGGCAGTCTAGACAGGGCTTAAGAGTAGAATAAGATTGTAATATTATATTTTAAAATCACTTAATATTTAATATTTCACAATCATTTAATATTTAATATTTTAAAATCATTAATAGTATTTAATATTTTAAAATCATTTAATATTTAATATTTTAAAATCATTAAATGGATAGCTAAGGATGCTAAAGGTTCTTTCCTTTAATGTTTTCAAGGAACAGTGGTGTATGACTGGAATGGTAAATGCTGGTTGAGGACATATTAAACAATACTGTGTACATGGAATCACTACGTGTTGGATTGGACTGGATTGGATTTATTCGGTGTAAACACCAAGGATAGCCCACGAAAGTCTAGAAGAAGACTTACTTCCAGTGGGGTCCTTCTGGTGGTGATTGGACAGTACACCGGGAGACAATCCCCTACTCTTTTCCGAAGAGTGTACTGCGTTCTTTAACGTGCACATGGGCCATAAATGCACACAGGACCAACGGCTTAAACGTTAATCATGGACATTTGTAGCAAGTGTTCAGTAGTTGTCCAATGCTGGACACTGAATTCTTAATTATCTCAAGTCATTCTAGAAGTGGTCAGACGTTAATGACTTGCTGTCTTCTCCACTGGACTATAAATCACCTCCAGTCACTTTCATATGTGGTCAGAAGTAATCCTCTATATACACGAAACAATCAATTATGCCTGACCTGATAATCACTTAAAGCATTTTTCTTTATTGGACAGTCTCAACTGGAATCTTTCTTCAATAGGTATTCAACAAATGAAAACAGGATATTTAGGTTTCCATATTCGTATTTCTCTTTTCCTTTGATCTAGGTCATGAGTTAAGTGGCAAATCCAGATTTTTGCCTGGGTTGGGAGGGGGAGGGGGGTGGGTAGGGAATATCAAAGACCAATGGTCCAATAGTGTGACACATGGTCCAAGGAGGAAGGGTTGAGGTGTTCCTATTTTTTAGGATGCCTTTTGGAACCTCTAGAGTTTTTGTCATTTTAATCTGCCATAATATCTCTGGTATAAGCATACCCCCTTGAACACCAAATTGGGCCGATTTTGGTGAGTGGACTTATACCCGGGGAATCCCCTTTTCAATCAAAAGGGAATTTTTTAGCACAGCATGCCTCATTCAAAGCCAATCACCATGGTTTATGTATGTTGCTTGTTTTTATGAATGCAATTGTTGACTTTTTGTAATGGGCTCTGTGGGAGAACAGTAGACATCCTACTGATCAGGTTTCCCCAGCATAAAGCATGAAAAAAATAATTTTTTTTTTAGGCATTTCCCGTATTTATAAATTTGTATCATACTTTAATACAATACTCCAGGTCCCTGACGTAAGCCTGCTCGGTTTGTAGCAATTCCTGCATGATGTAATCTCTTTTCTTGGCTGATTTTCTCTTGCTTTCATTCAGCTCCTTGGGGACATGTCTTAGTTTGACCTCAAGGATTGGATCGGACATGCGTGATGCATCCAATGACAGGTCTTGAATTTCCTCCTAAAACGTAGTACGACAATTCAGATATTTTATACGCAAAAATAACTGTCATAAAAAATAGTAGTGAAATCCAAGAGTTAATTTTAAGATGAAATATAAGAAATGAAAGGATAAAAACCGTGTTATATACATGTCTATACAAACAATGAATTTTTAAAATAAACTGTTTATACTTTGTGTTAAACATATATGATTCTGAGAAAAACAAATGGTTTGTTGTGAATATTGTTTTAGAACACAGATGACCTTGAGAAGTGTAATTTTTATTTTCTTTCTAAATCTTACATTAATATATACATTATACATTATATATTTATTGTATCAGTTAATATGCACTTTGAGTATTAATACCATTGGCATAGCGCCACTTAACATTGCATTTTGTCGTGGACACTGGCGATATACAAATCCTTATTGAGTGATTGATTGATTGAATTATTGACAGGCTTAAGACTGTTCCAAATTGACATTGCATTACCTGATGGCTAACTCCGAGGGTTGCTTCCAGCCGTGCGCGGTACTTATCCATACGGGTGGAAAAATCCTTGTAGAGCTTATCCACGGTTGATACCCATGACTTGATACTAGCTGCATGGGACGTGACAAGATTGTCAGCGAGTTGGTGAAGAAGTTTTACAGATTCACGAGTCTCCTGAAATCGAATGGAAACATACATGTAATACTTTAAACTAACTTGAATTTATACAAAAGTTTGCAAGATTCTTTCAACATTATGTTGGTACTAAAATATTCTGTACAATTAAAGATAATTCTTTAGTCCTCTCTCCAATAAGAGTAGAGTTCTTTACCAGAATTGAAGACAGCCCATAATCTACCACCAGTTAAACTACTCTTGCTCAGTTGAAATTTCTTCTGGACGTATTCCTATGGTCGCTGACCCGAGCTTTAAAATGTTCTCCCTACTTATTATGTCCGTAAGCTTTCCAACTCATTTTCAAAATAGACTAAAGACTTACATTTTCAAGGCTATTTAACATTTTTTTTCACTCCTTTCCCTTTAGTTCTCTATGTTAAATTCTACAAATTCTTAATATTAATACTAATGCTGATAATTTTTACCAATAATTTAATTTGTGCTTACCTTTGCAGTTGTTTTGAATGTATTGTGCTCATCTAGTAAGGCTTGTGTTTCTTCAACCGTTGTGCCAATGTTGGTGTGTGTTGATAAATAGTATTCACCGCTATCATGGATCCAGTCCAGACACTAAATGAAAACATCCCCATAAAAAAATTATTTACTGCATTGTAGATTTTCATATAACTATGTTTAAAGTTAGATTTAAAGATATTAAAATCACTTCAATAAGCAATTCACAAAAGGCAAGGTGTAATATAATATTATTCTATAAATCACATGAAATTAAATATAGTATAAATAAACATTAAAAAAAATGTAAGATATACTATAAAAAAAAGACACCATATCTTAATTAGAAAATATATGTGTGTATACCAAGGTAGCCAATCAAATCCAAGCCAATCTGTGACTTAATAAGGGGCATAATACAATGCAAGTCTGAATGCGCCAATTTCAGGGATTGCCGGGGGGGGGGGGGAGAGCTTGGTTGGTTTGAACTTTAAACAATAATATTATGTCTTTTTTCTTTTCTTTTATTGCTTTCCTTCTTCAGGTGTGAACCTGAAGATGTCCTAGAATTTGTTAATTTTACCATTCTTTTTGTATTATATTAATACTTTAAAATTGGATAAAGAATGATTTACAACACTTATAGAGCTTATCCACGCCATTAGCGCCATTTTAAGTAGAGGATACCGATGCTATAGAAGTTTAAATTTATTATGTTCGTTAATAAAACTCTCTAATTAGATCAGTCTGAAATCAAAGGTAACAAGATCTTACCTTGCGGGCGCTCACTTCAAACATAACATACTTATAGCACTGATCCAGACGAAGTTTCTTCTGTGCCCACCTATCTAGGCAGTTGTCTTCTGCTTGTCTCAGATCCTCTAGATTCTCTGGAAAGAAACAGATGAAACTTGCACTTAAAATTACTTTTAGAATATTTAAAATGTTAATCATTCAATATTATTTTCAATAATGTAGAATAAAATAATCAACACCCATAAAATTGAAAAAATCCCCCAAACAGGATAAACTAAAAGTAATCAACCTGATCTGTACCCAACTAAAAGGTAATTAAAGACTTTTCAAACTTGTCTAAAGTGGGCATTATATAAATCAGAAAATGAAAACAAATGTAAAGTAAAGCTCTATCCACACTATCAAATTTTCTTTGACAAAAAAAATTGACATGCCCATATATGGTAATGCTATGCCTATATATGGTCATGGTGTGATGTCATCATGCCTATATATGGGCATATCACACTTTCTTGTCACACAAAATTTGATAGTGTAGACAGAGCTTTACATTTTGTAAACATATTGATCATCTTATTAGTAAGGGAAACAGAATGCTTGGGTTCATTTGGAGACATTGTAGAGAAATAAATAGCCCTGGTGCCATTATTGCCTTATATCGTTATTTAGTTACTTCTCATTTGGAATATTGCTGTGTTATTTTTAGTTCAGCATCCGAATCTCAGTTAATTCGCATCGATAGGATGCATCTTAAGTTTATTAGGTTTTTTGAAAAAATGTTTTAATCGTCCTTGTAAATTAATGTGTCCTAGGAATAGATTTTTATTTCACGATATGGTTTTTCTCTATAAATGTGTTAACTCGTACTTTAGTTGTGATCTTGTACATCTGTTTGGTTTGCATGTTAATTCTAGAAGTCTTCATTCCTGTCCTACCTTTAATGTCCCCTTTTGTAGAGTTGATGTCTGTAAACGTAGTTTTATTTCTAGACTTCTCTTCAATATAATTCTCTTATTTTAACCTCTAATATTGACATTTTTCTATTATCTAGTTTGTCTATATTTCGTTCTATTATTATTAATCATTTGAATAGGTGAGATTTTTGTACTCTTTCGTCTGTATATTTGATATATTTAAATTTTATATATTTTACCAGCCTCTTAGTGGTGATGATTCGCTGTTGGTCTGTTGAAATGAAATAAATAAATAAATAAAATAAATAAAAATTAATAGTCTGGATATGGCCCAAGTTTAGCCGACTGAACTAGGGATGTAGTTATGGTGGGTGGTGCCACCCAGCCTTGAAGTCTTCCACCCAGTCTAAATCTAATTTCATGGCCCTCCACCCACCCTTATTAACCCACTTTTCCATCTTTAAAAATAATATTATGTCTTTTTTCTTTTCTTTTATTGCTTTCCTTCTTTAGATGTGAACTTGAAGATGTCCTAGAATTAGTTAATTTTACCATTCTTTTTGTATTATATTAATACTTTGATATTAGATAAAGAATGATTTACAACACTTGTAGAGCTTATCCACGCCATTAGCGCCATTTTAATTAGAGGATACCGACGCTATAGAAGTTTAAATTTATTATCTTCGTTAATAAAACTCTCTAATTAGATCAGTCTGAAATCAAAGGTAACAAGATCTTACCTTGCGGGCGCTCACTTCAAACATAACATACTTATAGCATTGATCCAGACGAAGTTTTTTCTGTGCCCACCTATCTAGGCAGTTGTCTTCTGCTTGTCTCAGATCCTCTAGATTCTCTGGAAAGCAACAGATGAAACTTGCACTTAAAATATACTTTTAGAATATTTAAAATGTTAATCATTCAATATTATTTTCAATAATGTAGAATAAAATAATCAACACCCATAAAATTGAAAAAATCCCCCAAACAGGATAAACTAAAAGTAATCAACCTGATCTGTACCCAACTAAAAGGTAATTAAAGACTTTTCAAACTTGTCTAAAGTGGGCATTATATAAATCAGAAAATGAAAACAAATGTAAAGTAATGAGACATGGTTACTAACGTTGTACTTCAGATTCTAGCGCTTTAGTCTGTTCCCCAACGCCAACATGCATATGCATCTGGAATGGGCTGTTGCACTTGTTTAAATACTTGATGAAGCCGATGCCATTCTTCCGCACCATGGTGCATGCCTTCAGGAAGCTCTCTTTCTGGTCCTGGTGCTTCATCAGCAGCTTCTGCATCTCGTCGATACTAATGGTAGCATTGCTGGAAGAGCAGCACCAGTCTTCTTCAACACGATACTGCCGCACAAGGTCACTCAACACAGAGAATACCTATAAGAATGATTATGAAATTTGGAAGCATTGATAACAGAAGTAGGGAGCTGGCCACAGGTATAAAAGGGTGGAATCTGATCATTGAGGCAGTGGCGGCACCAGCGGGGGAGGGGGCTTAATCCCCCGACCGGACATGTCAAGCCCCCCCCCCCCAGCCGGACAGAGCTTGTCGGGCAGTCACACCATAAAACATATAAAAATAGGCCTACACCAAGCCAACATGTCTGTCACAGTCTCAGATTGCCATTATCGGCCATCCAGAGGTTGATATTCTTCAAAAAATCTCATTTGGGAGGGGGAAACCCCCTCTTAACCTCTTCCTCCAGCTCAAGCCTACAAGCTCAAGTCCCCCTACTTAGTCCCCCCCCACCAAAAAAAATATATCATAGAGCCGCCACTGCATTGAGGGTGTAAACAATATGTATACAGATGACGATTAAGCCAGCAGATGATAATTAAGAATAACGGAAATTCTTGCTTTAAACAGGTGGTCTGCATATAATAAATAATCTCTTGCATAAACAGATATTATAACAACGGCAATGTTAAACAAAATCAGTATTAACCCTTGCTTGGTCATAATTCGATAGTATTCAATGCATATGATTTTGACAATGAGTGCTTACCCTCTCTGATGTCTTGTAAAAGTTACAGGCAAATGTGAAGAGCTTCTGTCGATCCTCTGCCATCATAATCAGTTGATGCCAATGGTTCTCCACCTCTTTTGCTAAATAGAAGATGGCTTCACTGTCATAGTGCTCCCCATCAATTAGTAGTTCAGCTCGATTCTGGAGCTGTATTGCACTTTCTTGAGTTTTCTGATCATAATCAAAATCATTAAGATCATCAAGATACTGTTTATACAGTTATTAATAATTGGTTAAAAAATAACATCAACAGAAAATACTTATTTCTGATCATTATCAAAATCATTCAAGATTATCAAACACTGTTTATACAATTATTAGTAATAGGTGAAAAAAATAACATAAACAGAGAGTACTTATTTCTCAAGATTTAAATATTCTGAAAACACATTCTTCCTCTAAGAAAGAAAAAAAAAATGTATCACTAGATTGTCTTCTAAGTTAAGTGATGTATAACACAAATAAATAGAAGAAAGTCAGATTCCAAAATGATGGATAGACCTAGGATTTTTCAACGGCTGACCGTAATACTATAATTCCTTGTTGGACTTGCATGAATGTTACAGACGATATTAAGTCACGTTCATGGTCAGTTCTATATTCAAGTCACATAAAACTTCTAAATAATTAAACCATAGATACGTCATTGCTGTTTGAGCCGCTGTTTTGAATGCCGTCTGTAAGTTTATTGGACGTCTTTCAGTTTATGACAGCTCACCTCAATTGTCATCTCAAATTGCTGATGGTCAGCGAGGAGATTCTCAGCCTCTTGCTGATTTGTAATTATGGTTGTCATGGTAGCCAGCATGGCTTCCTCAGTCTTGATCCATCCCAATACCTGTAATAATCAATCAAACTATTAAAATCACAGCAAATAACATTTTTAAATATATATAATTAGATTTATTAAATAATTAAATCTGATATTTAACAATGAAATATAAGAACTAAAGTAAAAATTTGAAACCAGATCTTTGCTCAGAAGCCAGAATGCCAATATATCTTTCCTTGTCTTTTGGGCCACAGACCGTGCAGTATTGTGAGGAGAGTGCTGTACTCCCCTATATCCCCCCCATTGGTGTCATCACTGATTAACACAAAATAAATCAAAACTCCATTCTATAATGTTCTTGAATACTTAATTAGTTAAATAATTTAACACATCTGGAGGATCGACAAAATGGATCAAGTCACTGTCTGAATACACTACTGGTACATATTACCAAATAAATTAAGCAAAGCAGTTATACAGTAACTGAAAAATGCAAAAAAAAAAAAGACAGCATAGAGATACACCATCAGTAATAAATAAAGATGAAAAAATATATTAATCAGTGACCTCAATCGCTAATCTCTCCCGTGGGCTTGGAATTGGAAAAGACACTGAGTAAAATAAATGCAGTGGTCTAAATGGTCATGTGAATAATAAAACATAAAATCAAACCAAAACCATAAACAAAAAAATGTTCTTTTATTTCCATTTTATATGTCTAATTCAAAATTGTTTTTTATTTATATTTTTAGAAAATAAAATGTCTTTGTGTAGTGGAGCTATTTGTTAATTCAGATGCTCGCATACTACTCCCAGAAACCAGAGGTAAAATGATGTCAAAGATTTCTTCCTTACTACTAAAAATAACTACACTCCCTAAGCCTAATTTTTAATGAGAAACCATAAATAGAACCTATGGGAGAATTGCATCCTGACTTTATGAATAATGAAATAAATATATCTTCGGTATCAATTTCTTTTTTCTCATGATATACTGAGTTGACTGGAACCCACCTGATGGGCCTCAAATTCGAAATGTCGTAGATGAATACATTGATCCAGCAAGAGTCGTCGTATAGCTCCAAGCTTTTCAACATCTTGGTATTCTTCGTGGATCAATTCCAGCAGAACTTGGATCCGATTCTGTGCCGTCATGTGACTAGTGGACATCATCTCAACTCCGTTTGCCTCAAATGCCTGACTCAGCTCCTGGCCCTGGTAATTAAAAAATATTAATATTAAGGTAGTGGATATATATTTAGCTGGCAGATTGTTTATTTTTCAACATAGCATAATTAGTGAGGGTGCACTTCCACCCCAAACTTAAGTAAGTAAAAAATTAAATTTACAGCTTGCAAAATAAAATCTTCGTAAATATTACGGTATGTATATACACTAAATTGAGTCGACTTGATAAAGGCAACTTTTTTAGGTTTTTCTTAATATAATAGATTATTATTGTAATTTTAATTATCCCCTGCACAATTCAACCCTCATTAGTATAATGAGGTCTGGCTTTACATATTCCTTGGAGTAATAAATTCCTATATTACTGTGGTGTGTTCGCTGACTAGCCTAATTAGATACACTTGATATAACAAGGCCTGCGTCAATAGCAGTATCAGTTGGATTCATTTAATGAATCCCTGCAATGGAAACTAAATCACAAATTAATCTCCACCGAAACTTGAAGCACTTCAGTGGGATCATGTACTTTACAGCACTGGTGATATCAAACAGGCTTCTTATATTTAGTCTAAGAGATAAACAATCTTTACAAGCACACAAAACCAACAGGGAATTTTGATCCACAAAAATTTGAACAATTAATGAAGTTTATTAAAATTTAAATTGTTCAGACTGACAGATTATTTGATATGAACACGAATAAGTTTTCAAAAGCAAGAATATTTTTTTTGTAAGTTCAAAAATTTTACAAAAAAAAATGTTTAATTCTGAATATATATTTAAAGGTGGCCAAAATGAGATAATTCAATAATTTATTGGATAGGTACAGCTTTCCTAATCCTTCAATATGAGACTATTAAATTTGTTTGGGGAAGGTGGGGATATAAAGACTATGTATAGCTACAATAAGTTTTCCTTCTTTTATCACTTAATTTTAAATACATACAAGTAGATACTACTATTACATCAGCATTTTAGAGAGAATGATCTGTAACATGGACTCCATAACATTTCTCAGTATATCAAATGTTGCACTAAGGTTTCAACATGAAAAAAAAAACTGTTTTAAAATATTGTACAGTGTATTTTATATACGCACATTTTATATGTGGAAGCTATAAATTTTTGTTGCAATAATACAAGATGAAAAATTTAATCTGTAAATCTAATATTTTAATGTGCATTGATACAATTCTACATAATGGCATGATATGTGTTTGCACAGAGAACAAAAAAAAATTAGAACACTTTTTGGCTGAATCAAGTAGAAAAATACTGACATTTCCTCTCCAGTTAATAATAGACAGATAAATTGTAATATTCCTATATTCTTTACATAGGCACATAAAGTGCGCATGAAAGTTCATGCAATCGGAAAACAACAAGCATTAACTGATGAGTCTGTCTAAATGTTGACGTGGTTGAAGATATATGAGTTGATCTTACAGCGCCCTCAAACAAATAAGCCTCAGGAACAATATGGAAGCTTAAACGGGCAAGAAACTGGCTTTGGAGCAGGTGGGTTAGGTCAATACCTAAAAATGAATGACGAAAGCAACTCACCCGTTGGACTAGCCTGATGGCGTTGTCTTCAATATTAATCATCAGCATGCAATGTTGCTCCGACATGACCTCGGCTTTGCGGAGGTCAAAGTCAAATTGTATATCAGTGCAATCTAAGTCTGCTTTCCACATCTGAAGCTGACTCGATAGCTGCATAAAAAAAACACAAAAAAAAAACCAAATTATCATTATCTCTCCTCATTAAGAAAAACCCATAAATTAGATAAACATTATTAAAATTTGTTAAATAATAATTACATGACTCAGTGAGTAGTATACTGCAATAAATTAATAAATGAAAGACACACTTGACATTCAAAATTTGAAATGTGTACTTTATATATTAAGGTTACTACCTTTCAAATAAAAATTAGAACGAGAAACTATTTATCTTAACAATTAAACAGATGCAATAAATAAAACCATTCCTATCTCACTTGTATAAACCCTTCAACTACTTGGCAATCAATCAACAGTTTCTAAATGAGTCTTTTTCCATGTATTATTAAAAGTGGATAACATTTTTAATCTTTTAAAATAAGCAATTGAATGTTTGAATCAAAATTGTTTTTGAGGATTTGCTCCATATATTATGAGACAATAGATATCATTAATGAATAAGCTGGTTGCAACATCAGTAAAACATACCTCTTGATGTAATGTTTTATTCATATTGTACAATATGAATATGTAATTTTTGCATGTTAAGCACATTAGCTACAATAACCATAAAATTGATAGCAAACGTTTGAGTCTTAAGCATTTTATATGGTGCTGGAAATGCAAAGACATCAAGTAAATACTATTTAAGTATTACTCCTCATCTATTAACCAGCTAATTCAGTTGATGTCATATAAAATTATTAAATTGATTAGACAAAGATAAGTTGTCCATTATATAAATAGTAAATCAATACAATTTTTATTTCATATTCAAAACAATGTTTGCTTTGAACAAAAGGCAAAATCCAAATCAATTTTGCACACTCTGATAAAAGATCAATAAATATAATGTTTATTTCATATTCAATCTGAATAACAATGTTTGCTTTGAACAACAAGAGGCAAAAAAAAATCAATTCAGCATACTCTCCAACTTATAATATTAACACCAAATATACATACACACAATCATTCCTTTTGTAAACTATACAATGCTTTATAAATACCATGTTTATTTGATTAAACGCCCGAGTGTTTATTGTTGAGAAGAGTGTTTGAGGGGGCATTTAATCGAGGTAAGCATTTATTTTTTTTGGGGTAAAATGGACACACATATTCCCTGTAAACAACAACACATAATGGCTGTCATAATGTGTTACTGCGTTAGAAATAATGTAATTCTACTGGATTAGAACATTGATAGAATGTGTTAAGAATAATGTTGCTTCCATTAGATTTGTTTACAGACATTTGGTGGGGGAATTTAATGGGATATTTAATGGGGGGAGGGGGGCATTTATTCGAGGGAGACATTTTTCCGGATTAGGCTCTAGAGCTTACCTCTAAAGCATCCTTCTCAAATTGTCTAAGTTGTAAGCAAAGTTCGAGCTTAATACGTTTGGTCGCCCACATCTCATTCAACTGAAGCCGGTTGCTACGGAGATTGGTTACCATGGCTTCTATATGACCACAGGCCTCTCCATACTTTGCTTCTGGTGCTTGCATTGCTGCAGTGCTGATCACAAAAAATAAATATATTAAATTATACTTTTATTATATAAATTAGAGTTTTAGTAAACAATATATATGTAATAAAATAAATACCACAAACATCATAAAATTAGATGACAATTTAGTATTTTTATACAAATTATATTTAATGAGAACGAACTATTCTGTTGATGCTAATCATTGATACCATAATGCTACTGGGAGAAAATATACAAAAGCAATTTTTAACATTTACAGTTGAATGTTCATTCAATCTAGGTTAAAAGCTTCCGAGACAGCAAGTCTAAGAAATGTTTTAAATTTCATAAACAATGAATCTAATCTGCGCTGTAAGCGTGTGAAATGAATCATTTGAAATCAAGGCAGTTTTAGAATAAACAACACTGCCACACACACACAGTACAAGATAGAAGACATTACCTTAGCTGCTCTATAAAGTAATCACCTTCACTCAATGTGTTTAAACAAGCTTTAATTGTGATCGCTTGTTCGTGTTTAAACTTTGCTAGAATCTTCTCTGCATCTTCCACACATTCTCCAATTTCTTCAGTTTGTAGCTTCTCCCTTAGCTCCTTAAACCAACTTGTTAACTAAAAAAGATCAAAGGCCATATTTCAAGGATACATAATAAGTTGTAAAATCTGGGTGGGGGGAGGGGAAGAAGATGCCCCTCCCCTCCCCCACAAAAAAAAAAACTTATTTACTCATTAAAAAGAAAAAAAAATATGCTATCGACTTCTTAATTAATCCAAATAAAAATAATTCCCTTTTTTATACTTTAATTTTCGAACATAACAAAATTACAGTAATGGTGGTGACAAACATCTATAAATTTATGTATTTTTGTATGTTAAAATATACCTACTTTGTTCGATAAGCAGATCACACATATTTTGTTTGATTAGCAGATTACAAATAACATAGACATAAAGTACAATACAAAATGGCAAAGGCAATCCTTTCTTCACTCATTTGTTTTAACTACAGAGATAAATATTAGCTATGTATATTTGATATTAATTGTTTTGCTTTGGGGCTTTCTTTATTTTTTTTTATTGCTGCAATTGCAAGAACATATTTCATAACTATTTATTTTACTTAATGATAATAAAAGACATCTAATATCTTGTGAGTTCTTTTAAAGAATGGTCAGGGAAATGAACCTGAGCTTATACTTTTTTCCTAAATAAAAATGTGTAAATCTGAAAACATCCTCTAGCATACCTCTTTGATATGTGTATAGAACGATACTGCCAATCCTAGAAGTTTTTGTCGTTTCTCGACCCGACTGACAAAGTCAAAAACTTTTTCTTGAAGTATCCCAGCAACATGTTGAATTTCTTCAGGATTGCACTCTCCACGTTGGCTTAGCTGACGAGCATTCTCTAGCAGGCGATCTGCATTTGTGATTGTATTCTGTCAAAATAAAAAAATTTAGGAAAATGTAAATTCACAAAATTTACAAATATAGTTTAATTCTCTAGTCATCCAATGAAACAGAATAATACAAGACAGTGAAAATATTGGAATATTTTAGGGGGAGGGGACAGGAAGTAACTTTTAGAGATAGAGGGTCCAAAGCATCACTCTCAGCATCTGGAGCAGAGGTACAAATTTCATCCTCCCATCCCTACAAAAAACCAGAGCCTTGCAGGCATAAATATATATATATATATATATATATATATATATCATCATCATAAATCCATGTGTGTTCTTGAAATTATATAAAAGGCATTGAAACAAGGAATTGAAGCAACAAGTCATGTGGACTATAAAACACTTGTTTATTTCAAAAGAAATTTTCGACCAGTCCTCTGGTCTTCTTCAACTTACAAAACCAAATGACAAAATGTGGCTGATACAAGAGATCTGTTATACAAATAAACAATATATTTGTGATAGGCTTAGAGTAAGGGCCAATTATCACATATACAAAAAAATTATTTAATAATAATCAACCAAATAACTGAAGATCTGAGTTTAACTTCTATCATCCAAAGATTTTGAAAACAAAAAAGAAAAACAGGTCAATTTACTGACTATGAAACAAGATGTAAATTGAGCCCATCAGGACATGAACCAATTAGACCCAAGAACGCCTACCTTGTTCAAATGGGGTTCGCTTACAACAACAACAAATGTTACTATGGTGATAATAGAGAATGAGTAGAATAGTGCAAAGTCCTTTTGAGTATATACAATTTTTCATGTTGGTGAAAAGTAAAAACACTTATTGCTTCTACTTTGTTTTCCTTCATAAAGATAAGATATTCTTTAATGTCTTATTTACAATATAGGATACATGAAATTTGTTCTGTTGACTCTCCAATTAAAACCAATATAACTTACTTATAATGTTTTTAACAATATTTCCTCTATACAGTACTGTTTAAACATTTATACAAGTTGCTTGAGTGAAAAGATATGAATTATTATTTTCTAAATTTCTGTTTTTTGGTGGATCGATTTATATATGATTTCCTACATCAAATGGTTTTATATTTTATTTGAATAGTCGGCCATATCTACAAAGAGTAAATTCCTTATGTAGTGGATAGGAGTTGTCGTATAGAAATTAGTTTAAATGAATAATGGTCTCCTGCTCAAAAAACATCTTCAATCTTATCATTTTCAATCCTTTTGCTAACAAAATTTGTTTAAACTTTCTTTTTTGTTGAAGTAGTATACTTTTTTGCTAACATACTGTAAATTTATAAAACATAACATTTTTGGAGGCTTTAGTTCGGTGCTTATTCGAGAGTGGCGCTTATAAAAAAAATATTGGTGTGGCGCTTCCCATGCCCTTTCCCATGTTACCTATCTCACGTATTCCTCCTGGATCGGTAGACCTATCATAGGTCCTAGTCATCGTAAATAAATGTTTATAAAGAAAAGCTTGTGACTTATTGTGTTATTTGTTCATTTTAACACTCCATACATTGTATTGAAAATCCTGTTTCTCAAAGTGTTTCATTACACACAGGGTAATACAGTATTTACCCTTGATTAGGCACCGGAGCACTTATTCGAGAGCAGTGCGCAGCGAAAATAATCTGATTTGGTGCGGCGCTTATTCGAGAGCGGTGCTTATTCGAGCATTTATAGTATTTAGTGATTCTTTTTTTTTACACCTTATTTCAGTAAGGCTATTGTACCACATTATACATTGGTAGGACACAATAATTTATTATATATTACTGTAATAAATAAAAAGAGAGTAAATATTTCATTGCACACATTGAATAATGTAGGACTATGCATTCAATTAGCTATAAAATACACGACAAAAAGAAAAACAAGTTGACAGAACTGTCTTGAGCACAAGAAACATGCATTAACAATCAACACCAAATTACACGGAAGAACGGTAGGCAGTTTTCTTTTGATGCCGGATTAGCCGGCGGTATTAATTAGGTATTATTAATACCTGGTATGATGCGACTGATTTTGAATCAAATTTGTCTGTGCTGAATTAAAAGTTAGAAATACGGCTCTCCAGGGAGCGGAGGGTTTGCACGTTGTGTATGGTTAATATTGTGTCCAATGACCGGGAACACAGACACAAAACAGAAGCTGATGAGCTACAATGGCAAACAATGGCCGATCCAATTTTTTTTTTTGTACCATGGTGGCACAAATGGCAATCACGGACCTAATGTCAGAAAAGGGACAGAACCTATGGTCAAGAAAGGAAGATTTTGGGGTGTTCCTTTTCCTATTGTGGGGTTTTAGCCATTTTAACTATTTATATACATGATTTCACACATGGTTAGAGACTTTTTGTTGCTACTGCCTATGGTCGGGGGAGGTGGGAGTGTACCTTTTGTCACTCATCTAGATCCGCCACTGTTGTATTTCTGTCTTCCTCTTTTTTTAAAAAATTCTCTCTACTTTATTCTCTTAGCAATCTTTCCTTATCTCTCACACTCTACCTTAAATTATATCTTACTTTTAGTACTTAAAATATATCTTGATATTAACAAATACAGAAAATGAATAATATGCACTCTCCTTCAATCTGTAGCTGAAATCAAGTAATCTCTAAAGCCTATTATAATCACTAATATAATAAATGAACACATAGCAGAACTTCTCAATGAAAGTTATATTCACAATTCCTAATCTATCGACCACTCATCAATTTGTAAAAATTCAAACTCATTGGAAAATCAATAGCTTAAATAATAATACTGGCTAGGTAGTGATTATAAAAATCAATACAAGTACTGTATAAAACATGCAGTATTATGGTAAAAATAGTCTGACAAAAAGAATAATTATAATAATGTAATTAAAAAAAAATCCAAACTTTACTAATTTAATCATACATGTCATCAACAGTGTCCTTGGAAAAATGGCAAAAACCCTCGAAGCAATCAATTTAAAAATGTGAATTGTTATTTAAAGGGATCAGATAAGTTACAAACTTCTAATGAGAAGATGGAAACAACAAAACAATCTATCTTCCACAAATTGAAAGTTTTTTACTATATAAAAAAATCCTTGAATTGAATAGACTAAATATAGTGTAATTAGGTTACATAATATAAGCAATATATTGTATGTTTTAATGGTTGTGCTATCACTGTATATTTATTTGTATTTTGCATCATTAACCACATAGGATAATTAACAAGTATGTATTTATAGTGCAAATAAGAACTGTACAAAATAAGTAAAGTATTAATACCATTATTATGCAAAGAATATAATAATATTTATACTTTAGTCTCATACCTAGGAAAGAAAATATTTTCTCAATTATAACTAACAAAAAACTACAAAGTAGTTCATTCAAATATTGATATATTAATATTATTTAACACAACAGAGCGTATTCTTAATGATCATTAAACGAAACGCTAATCATACCGACAAAAAACCCGTAACATTATCTACCAGCGTGTAGTATTACCCATGATTCATCATAATTTGTAAATAAGAAGCTAACTAATTGATGCTGATCAATGCACCAGCGTCGAGATGTTCTTATTTCCGAACTTGAACGCCATGCAAGATATGATGTCATCATAAATCATTTACTACTGGGATATTCATAATCAAGTCTTTTAATTCTACTCGGGATACGGATGTGAAAACATGCAATATGAATACAGCACACGTGGAAGCACGCATGAATAATACACACATGCATACATGCATGTGGAAATAATACATGCACATATGGATACATGAATGCATGAATAATACATGCACACATACATATTGATGGATATGTGAGTAATGTATGCATACATACATATAGATACATGAATGTGTGAATAATACAGGCACACATACATATGGATACATGAATGTATGAGTATACATGCAAAGATACATATGGATACATGGATGTGTGAATAATACATGCACACATACATATGGATACATGGATGTGTGAGTAATACGTGCAGGCACATAAAATAATAGTAATAATACATGCAAACATAAATATGGATACACTACATGAATGCATGAATGGGTAGTTCATCATATAGTATATGCAGATACATCCATGTGTGCGTAATACACGCATGCACAGACAATCACACTCGCATATAGTGCTGCATAGAATTGACGAGCTTAATTTAATCATGGATTAGACATAAATTGCTGTTACAATTTACAAGCATGTCCTCAGGCTATTGGGCCTGAGGTCTAGTGTTACTTCAAAGCCGGCTTCTGATATCTTTACTCAATCTCATGAAATATATTCATCACATTAAATGTTAATTAAACCAGATAAAATGGTTATAAAGTGCAACTGGTTGTACATGGCTTTCCATGGTAACTCATTAAATCCATTCACCTCTCTGTAATTCATTATTCATTTTACCTGTTTCTTTGTTAACTCATCCATTCATATTATATCCATGTATCTATTCATTAGGAATCATCCTTTTGAATTCTTTTTTTTAATGATGATAATAACAAGACTTGCATAGGGCTTCAATTTTAATGAGATGCTGAAGGTGCAAGAGGAAATTAAACTAGAGTACAAAAAAAAAACTTACTCCTTCCTGTGGGCTCCCTGAAATTGTACATAATGAAATTATGATTTTTCTTCTTCATATGGATACCAACAATATTACCAATATAGCAAAACCATATGTAAATTAAGGAAATCATGTGCCTAACCATGGCCTAACTTTGTCAGAGTTCAGAACTTTTTTTAAAGTACCTTTTAAATAGCAGTCTTGGTACAAGATCGTTGCTTGGAGTTTATGCATTCGTCTTTTTAAGGTTGAGTATGTCCCTTATTGATGATACTTATATCATCACCATCATTATCAATATTATAATTGTACTCAATCATATAGAGACTGTTATTGTATGTGCTGCATAATTAATTACAATATACACAAGAAAATTATAGGCTAAAAAATAAATGCAAAATAATAAAATATGAA